TTTATATTATCTTATGTGCAAAAAACCTCTTCCAACAAAGGAGAATACATTTAACATACCACTTTTTTGGTAGTTTTGATGTTGTTGGGCTTTCCAGCTGAAATGCCAGATGTGTTCCCAATTGGTTTCTCAATAGGAAGTGGAGGAGGACTTTCTGCAACTTCATTTAAAGCTGAAAAAATATTTGTCATTTGCAACAACTATAAAACAAAGTCATTAAAGGAAAACAATAATGGAATTTATCAATTAAATACAATCAGAATAAATCTTTCACCCTGGCCAGAATGTTTGTCTATTGCTAGGAATACAGAGTGTCAGAAGAAAACCAAGAAGCAAAGCATATGTGTGTTTGCAGTTCAGTCCTTTATCCAGCTGGTATGAGCATGATCTTAGATACTAGCAGACTCCAAGATTACACTGATATTATTGGTCTATAGCAGGGGCCGGCAACCTATGGACCCCGGGCCGGTTCTGGCCCAGGTCGCTGGACTTACCAGCCCAGGCGGACCCCTGCCACCACCGCGCGTTTTCTCATCCATGCGGCTACGCACGCCACAGCCGGCATTTTGAATTCCAAAATGGCGGCCACAACGCGTTTGCGCATGCGCAGGACATGTGGCGGCTGCGACATGTGCGGCTGCGGCGGCCGTGCGTGCTGCGGCGGTGGCGGCAGTAGCGCGCGGGGGTCCACACGTGGCGGCAGGGTGTGTGTGTGTGAGCATGAGCGTGAGCGCCCCGCCATTCCCCCCCTCCACCGAGCGGAGACAAGGACTTCGGGGGACTGGCCCAGGATGGAAAAAGGTTGCCTATCCCTGGTCTATAGCATCAGATTTATGCTGCTTTTTCAATCAGAGGATTTCTTTTTACAATACATGAACCTTAAAAAAGACAGCAGAGAATCTGTGGAATTTTTAGGGTGATAGATTGTCCACAGTCTCTATACTATGTCCAATCACTCACTGATGCTTCACAAAGAGTCTTGGAGAATTAGGTCTTTTATAAACACAAGTTTGTCCCAAGCATGTGGTAAGAGGAAATAATTTTCTTTTCAAATAATCATTCTCTTAAGCTTCAGTGTGTACTCAGACCTTACAATGCTGATTAGATCAATACAGAAAATGTAGATATTATTATGATTACTGTTTTGGGGAAAGCACTTGACAACTTTCTTGCCAAGATTTTGATCACTTAGGGAAAAACATTTTTAAAGTATTCCTTCTATTTACCAAGCATTTTAAACAAACAAACAAAAAACAACTACAGGGCCAGAGTATGGTGTGTGATGAAGGACATATATGGGAGGTGCTTGATAATGAGTGTCCATGGTTGCTACGTAATGGAAAAAAATGTTCTTCATATAAGTTTGATCTGTCCCATAGCTGTAGCCTTGGTGACTCTTACTGTCATGCTCTGCTTGTCCTCTGGGTCTGAAGGCTCTGATGGAGAGTCTGAGAGCCCAGGGGACATGCCAGGGCTGCAGCAATGCAAGTGTCCTCAGGAGGTGAACCTGCAGACAGCACAGGGGCTGAGTTCCCAACAGCCATAGGAGCAAGGTTCATTATAATCACACACTAGCACCTAAATCAAGAGCCAGACATACCAGTGCCTGTCCCCACACAGAGATGCCAGGAAAAGGAAAGAATAGCAATAGCAATAGCAGCTTCATTTATATATCGCTTCATATCATCTAAGCAGTCTCTAAGCAGTTTACAACTGTAAGCTAACTGCCTCCAACAAACTTGGTACTCATTTTAGTAACCTCAGAAGGATGCAAGCCTGAGTTAAGTTTGAGCCCTGGCTAGTACTGAACTCACAACCTTGTGGTTTGTGAGTGAGTGGCTCCAGTACAGGCATTTAACCACTGCACCACCAGGGCTCTTAAGAAGCCAGTTTTCTCAGCATTTAAGTAAGAATTTAAGTAGTAAAGAGTACCTACAAGACCCAAATGGGCTATAAATATCCCAGCACCTCCCTCAGTCCAGCATGGCTGACAACCATCTATCCTGGGAGAAAGCTGTGCTGGTACCTCCTTCCTGTTGCCTGTTGCCTTGAATTCTGCCTGGACTCCAACTATTCATTTGGATTAATCTTTGGATGGCTTTACTGGATTGACTGCTGACTTGTAAAGGACCTGGACTGGTTTAAACAACCACTGCTTTTTCTACAAGCCCCTTGGTGACTCACATTCTCACTTTCTCTGTATACCTGCTTGAGAGACTGCAGTTTTGTGCTGTGAATTTGTCTATCTCCCAAGGGCAAAACAGGACACTTACTGATAATTGCCTCTTTTATTCTGCTTTGTAAAGGATGAATGGCTGTATACATTTTTTTTTCCTACAGCAGATTCACTATTTGATTCATCAATGTAATACTTTCAAAAATACAACTGAAAAAATATTGAACACTAGAATCTTTACCTTTTGCTGGTTTGGATGGGATTCGGATTACAGTTGGCTTTCTGACAACAGCTGGTTGAGCTACTTGTTCTTTTGCAGGCTCAGGTTTAGAAATCAAATTGAGAAAATCTAAGAAAAATATAAAATTTTGCACAAGAGTAAGCATCAGAAATATTAATTGTTAAGAGACTGGTGTCTCATATGCTGAAAGAATAATTCTATGTGACAGAAATGTGAAACACATTAATGTAATTCTACAGATAGGATAGTTTACAAGGATAACCAGCAAAGTCTTGTCCAATCTTGCTGGTTATCCTTGTAAACTATCCTGATCTTTATAACTTAATGTCTAATATCCTGATCACTTATTATATACTTTACCATCTAAACTAAAACCATTTTGTGTATGAGGATTCTCTTGTTAAGCGATGCAGGTTAAACTTCATTGCTTTTGCTTGGGTCATTCCCATCCAGAGTGCTGGATTGGTGAGAGAAAGTACTGGCAGTAGGACCTGTTGCATACTACCCTCTCTCCTAACTTAGGTTTGGTTAGGATTCAAGCCAACAATTCCGTGCACATTTCACCCATTTCTGCTCACAACATTCTACGACTACCAAGCCCACTCAGTCTTCACTGAACTATATTTTGGGTGGTTTGCACTTTGGCCAGGATCCAAAATGGTATTCCACACCTGTAAGATTTGGGACTTTCACCTCCCTCTCCCCAGCAAGTGTTCTCATCCCCCACCACAGGTTTTCAGTGTGCATTTAGAAGCTGTAGGAGGAAGAGACACTGCAGACTTTCTCAGAAGCTGTGAATCCAGCAGAAGTACATAAAGTGGAGGGATTTTTGTTAGGTTTTTTGTGTCTGAGTTTGGAAATCTTCTAAAACACATAACACATCCGGCATTTCAAGATTCACATTGGAAGGTATCAGAGGTAACAAGCAGCCTGAAAGTGCACTTTAAAAAAAATCATGGTAAGTAGCAAAGAGGAAGGCTTTCTCTGATGCTCTGTAGCTTACCTCCACATAGCTTGCTGAATCAATCACATTTACACAGCCAGAGCAATATCTGCTCTTTGAACTTCATGCATAAATTGTGCACTTATTTAAGTGATTAGTTAGTATAATTACATTGTATAGCTAAATTAACCAAGGCTTAAAATGACCCATGAATTTCATAACAGGAAAACCAGTACTTCAATAGAATTTTTACTATTGTATCATCAATAGACCAGTAGATTCACAAAAGCATATAAAAACTGTCAAACATAATGACAATGTTTCTTTCAACTTAAGACCTCCTATTGTTCTAATATATTGAATAATTCTCTTTCATTAACATGTAATGTCACTATTCTAGTTAACACAAAATTACTTAACCTCAAACATTGGTATGGCTACCATTCCTGCGCTAATGTTATCTCTATAGAGGCCAAATATTAGACAGCATCAACATTTATTATTATTATTATTATTATTATTATTACACTTTATTTATATAGTGCTGTAGATTTACACAGCGCTGTACATACAATCAATAAAATAGATAAAAATAGATAAAAATAAGCCTGCCAATGGCATACATTCTACAAAATAATAAAATAATACATATTAATACAAAGGAGGCAAGAAATTAAAAACATCAAATGATCATGCATGTTTCATTTTCTAAAATCACAGTGTATCATCTACTTCAGGGGTCAGCAACCTACAGCCCGTGGGCTGGGTGAGGCCCGCGGAGGCCTTTGGACCGGCCCCTGCCCAGTCCTGCTGCTGCTGCCGCCTTTCGCGGCCCTGGAAGACAGCCCGGCGCAGTCGAGGGAGCCCTCCTGGGGGGGGCCCGCCTTCATGCGCATGCGCACACAATGCAGGGGAATGGTGGTGGGCCGCCGCCATTTTGTTTTTCAAAATGGCGGCACACACGCATGTGCACAAGCGCACACACACCGGCCCCCAGCCCCATTCCCCCCCCTTCCTGGCCTGTCAGCAAAAAAAGTTGCCGACCCCTGATCTACATCATTAAGTAAACTTAACTAATTAACCTCTCCTGTCCTGACCCTTCCTCAAACTTAATGGAAACATCATTCACCCATGTTACAATTGCTGGCAGAATGGCTCCTCATGTAGCTGATGCTTGGTAAAGTAGGTTGGGGTGGGGGAGTTATGATTGTAGCCATAGTATCACAGTCATAACAAAGTAGCAGTCTTGAATACAAAACAACTTGTTGCTGTTGTTGATTGCCTTCAAGTTGTTTCAAACTTATGGCAACCCTAAGGCCATATTTATACTTATAGCAAACCTAACATGGCATGTTTCTTCAGAGGGGATTTTTCACTGCCATCCTCTGAGGCTGAGAGAGTAAGGAGGGCCTTTGTAGACTGCCAGAAATAGTGCAAATTGAGTCCACTTTTAGGGTTAGGGTTAGTGCTAGGGAATCATGGGAATTGTTTTTTTTTCCTGAGACACTGAGCCTTCTCTGTCAGAGAGTTCTGGTGCCACAATAAAATACAGTTCCCATGATTCCCTAACCCTAACCCTAAAAGTGGACTCAATTTGTATTATTTCTGGCAGTTGCCCAGGGTCACCTAGTGGGTTTATATGGCTGAGCTGGGATTTGAACCCTAATCTCAAGAATCATAGTCCAACATTCAAACCACTACACCACACTGGCTCTCAAAACAGTTATGGATGTGTAAATCTGAGTAACTATTTCATATTCACAATTGCTTATTTGTCACAACTGTGACACTACTGTCATGACAATAATTCCTCCCCAAACCTACTTTACCTGGTATTACCTTCATCCATTCTTCTTGGTGATCAGAGCAAGGCTGAGTAATTAGGTTTGGGCGGTGGTTTGGGCCAAGAGAGGTTACTTAGGGGCTAAACAGACTGGCAAAAAGAGCCGGCTTCCCAGTGGCTTGGGCACGTGGTGTACACACAACACACATCCCCAAGATGTTGGGAGGCTGCTGTGAAGACACCCCACTGATCACACAGCAGCAGTGTTGTGGCATTCCAGCGATGTGGCATTCAGACACAGCATGCCACAGAAACACGGAAAAAACACCATAGTGGTGGCAAAGGTGCCATTTTCCCAGCGCAAAAAGGAGCAGCTTTCTGCCACTTCTTTTTGCACCAGGAAAATGCTGGCTTGGGGGTGTGTGTGCGTTTGCAGAAGCCCCAACCCGGGGATCAAAGGGGCAGTGGCAAGCCGCTCCTTCGGGGTGATCTGTTTCACCCCTCAGTTAAGTATTTTGAGTATATTAACAATATTAAAATCATTCTACTGGCTGCCAATTAGTTACTGGGCAAGGTACACAGTGTTGGTTATTACCTTTAAAGAGGATTTGGGGGCATTTGGGGGCAAAATATAATGTATTATTTTGTGGGGGTGGAGTCCTCCAAGGTCTTCCTGGGAGCTAATGTAGTCCGTTACCTTCCCAAAGTTGATCACCTCTGCTATGCCAGCAATGCAGCCCTGCAACACCTGCCACTTGCCTACTCCATTACACAGACACACTCTTGTATAGGCCACATAAGAATATATATTGACCTTCATTTGATACATTTTTCACAGAGTGATATTACCATAAAAGCATGCTCATTTATTTTATATAATTTGTACACAAAGTTCTTTCCACTTTTTAAAGCTCACCTGATTCTGACTGTGTACGTTCTTGAAGGGTCCCAGCTGAGTTAACAGGCAAAACATCATCATCAAAGCTGATCAGGTCTCCTTCTACAGATGGTGTATTCTGCACTGAGATTGTTGAGAAACCACTTGTGGGTGTCTCCACCAAGGATCTGAAGGCACTTGTCTGAGCAGCTACGGAAAGCCTGGGAGTAGCACTTAATGGTTTTAGTGGAAGTAAAGGAAGAACAGGATTTTCAAAAGAGACAGATTTCCTGGGAACAACTGGTCTAGGAGTAGGAACAGGAGACATTCTCTGTCCTTCACTATTTTCTGAAGCTGGTCTGCTTCCTGAATTGAGTAGACCATTACTACTGCTTTTTACAATAATTGGTTTAGGTTTCTTTGGCAATTCAGGCTTGGTTATAATGTTGCTCCCAGTGTCCTGAAGCGGAAGTGGCCTCTCCTGGGAAATAGTCTTTAGTTTGGTTTCCATCCGTGAGTCCCATTCACCTGAAGTTCTGTTAGCCCCTGGCTTTGGTGCCACTACAGGCTTTTTTGCACTCACCACAGGTTTGGGGCCCAATGAACGTGGAGATACTTCTGGCTTCTTTGTTAATCCTGAAGTTTCCATGTTAGTTTGCATCTCAAAGGCTTTAATGCGTGAGACTATACTATTTTGGCTCTTGTCCGTATCCATATTTTCCATCACCATGTGACTGTCCCAAAAGTTGTCATCTAGTAGTGAGACCAAGTGAATTGAGGGTGTATCCTTTTCAGTCTCTGACTGCCTTGTTTCTACTTGATTGCCTTGTATATTATTTTGAATATCTCTAACAATAGGTTTCAGATTGCCTTTTGATCTTGGTTTTGGAACAGGATATATCACAGCATTAGGCTTCTCCTGACATGACTGGTCTTCCAAAACAACTAGGAGTTCTGCATTTATGGAATGATTGCTATTCAGCAGAGATGATGAAGGTCTAGGTGGCATGCGAGGAATTTGGACAGCTGTAAAAAAAAATCAAGGGATGTTTCAAAACATACTTTCTTTAGATTGCAACATTTAATTTCTTAGCCCAAGTTAGTCCAAATCAATTTTTTATGACTTAACTTTGCTCCCCAATTAATCATTGAATCACAGAATTATGTATCAGAATTATGTACTATGCACAGTGCTGTGTAAATTTACAGTGCTTTATAAATAAACAATAACAATAACAATAATAATATCATATAGTCCAACCTTCTGCTCAATGCAGGATCTGCAGTCAAGGAACAGATTTGGGAAAAAAATATTTTTAACACAGACAGCTCTGATGCCACAACAAAGTACACATCCCAGGATTTTGTAGTTAATATAGTGTCAACCTGGATTATTTCTGCAGTGTGGATGCAGCCATAGAAAGGAATAAGTTATCTAAGGATGCAAATGCATGGGTAGGGTGAAACAGGCCAACTCCATCATATTCTTCCTGCAAACCCAGCCCATTCCCACCCTGGCACTTATCTGGGTTGGTACACCAATGGGTGGATGTACAGACATCTGCCCGGGCCTGTGATGTGGAGCCACTGCCACCATTCTCTTGCAGTCCCCTCCCAACCCATAAGGCTGAAAATAGGGCACCTGGTTTCATCCAGATGGCTAGGCACCCCCTTTCAGTATCACAGGGGCCTACAAGGAGTTTAAAACCATCCTAAGGGCTGGTTGGGCACAGGTCGGGCTGGATCTGCTGAAATACCACCTGGTCTACTTGTTACTCGCCAGGGTTGGTGGCCTGCATCATCTAAACAAGTCAACGATAGCTGGGGACAGCTAGGTTCCGTGGGCCACACTTTCCTCACCCTATAGTAACAATTTTATTTCTAACTATTTACACATTCAGGAATGAAAACACAATTAGAATGATACTGTCTCTCACTTTCAGCTCTGCCAGGTCTTACGCTAAAAAGAGAAGTTGCAAATTGTATGAAATTTAGACAGGATTCACAGACCAATGGTAGTGTTCAGCCCATGACCTTGAGAACAATCAAACAGAAACATTTTGAAGTTGCTGTCAGGGACCAAGGTAATACAAACTCATAACACATGTATGAAAAGAACCCGACCCGCCCCCTTTTTAGCCAGTACAGATTGCTTTTAATCATCAAAAATTACAATTAACTGTCATATACCTGGAGTGCTTTTGCATTCAGAAAGAGTATGCAGATTACTTTTCACATTTATGCTTGGCAAACTGCTGATTATCTCTTCTGGAAAGTCAGTCTGTGTTGACGATGTAGCAGTTTGTCTAGAATAAGCAGAGCCGGCAGCATTATTGCTGCTGGTTGTGTTGACTTGTACTTGATTGATTTCTTTGATTACCTGCTCATATGAAGGAGGCTGCAAAACAAAAATGTTATGCTGAATTATAGCAGACATAATACATTTTATCTGCAACATTTATCAAAGTACAGAAATTTCTTCCATGCCCTGTTTACTTATAACAATGATTTCAGATAGCCAGTTATATCACCATATTGTAATAATAATATTATAATAATAATATTTTTTTATTTATATTTCCCGCCTCTCCCTATAGATTGTGGCGGCATTACAGAATAAAAATGAATACAGTGTATAAAATACAAGCAATAAAATAGTAAAGCCAAAACAACAATAATGAATTATAAGAAAATATAATATAATATAATATAATATAATATAATATAATATAATATAATATAAATAAAATAAAATAAGTCAATCGTCATCAGAGTCTAGAAATCCAGAAAATCGGATGGATAGGCCCACTGGAAGAGTTCCGTCTTAAGTGTCTTCTTAAAGGCATCTAGCGTAGTGATAAGACGGATCTCTTCCAGCAGGCTGTTCCATAATCTGGGGGCTGTGGCCGTGAACAATCTATGGGAAGTAGAGTTCTATGGGAAATAGGTTTTGTGGTGATCTAATAAATACTTCCCAGATGTTCTGAGAGTGTGGGTCGGATTATGTGGGGAGAGGCATTCCTTCAAGTAATTTGGGCCCAAGCCATGTAGGGCTTTAAAGGTAATAACCAACACTTTGTGCTGCACCTGGAAGCTAATCGGCAGTCAGTGAAGAGATTTCAAAACAGGTGTGATATGTTCCGGTGACCAATCTGGCTGCTGCATTTTGAACCAACTGACGCTTCCGAACTTGGTACAGAGGTAGCCCCATGTAGAGTGCATTATAGAAATCCAAACAAGAGATTACCAGGGCAAGTACTACTGCTTCAAGGTCCCTTTGGTCTAGGTAGGGACGCAGTTGGCAGATCAACCGAAGTTAATACCAAGCACTCCTGTCCATCGCATCTACAACTGTAAAGATGAATCCAGGGGTACTCCCAAACTGTGTACTTTGCCTTTTAGGGGAAGTGTGACCCGTTGAGGACTGGTCGGCAAAACTCCCTTTCCAGACCAAGGTTACCTATTGAGAGTACCTCTGTTTTCTCTGGATTCAGCTTGAGTTTGTTTTCCCTCATCCAACCCATTACCGACTCAAGGCAGGCATCAAGAGGAGCGATGCCATCCTTAGTCACTGCAGCAGTCGAAGACATAGAAAAGTAGAGTTGGATGTCATCAGCGTATTGATAACACCGCACCCCCATGTCTCTGGATGATCTCACCCAGCAGCTTCATGTAAATGTTAAACAGCATGGGGAATAGAATTGTGCCATCTTAATTAAAATCAAAGTCAAACCTGTTTCCTCACCTCTGCTGGAACAAGCTCACTTGTTCTCCAAATAGCCTGGGTGTGAGATGATTGAAACACTAGCCCCTGTTGAGGGACATGATTTCCACCTGGAAACCAGGAGGATGGCCCAAGTGGCTCAGCTGCAACTATCGTGATTTCAGGGCGTCTGAAAACAGGGAAAACACAAACATATACCAATATTATACTCTTGACTACTGAAATACTTGAAGACAGGAAAGATAAATATTGTCTGATTTCCTGAATTTTCCTGATCACCGTTTACTAGACAACACTTTCCATCATTTGTAAAACATCAGGGCCCATT